AAAAAAAAAAAGAAATGTCAAACTGCTTTCTAGACTGGTTGTACCATTTTATAATCCCACCAACAGTGTATGAGAGTTCTTATGTCTCCACATCCTCTTCAACATTTATAGCTTGTTGTCCTGTTAAACTTTGCCACTGCTACTGGAATGAGATGTATTTCATTGTGGTTTTGATTTGCATCTCTCTTATTGCCAGTGATTTTGAGCATTTCTTCATGTGTCTACTGGCCACCTGATTATCTTCCTCTGTGAAAAAGCTTGGCATGTTTTTTGCCCATTTTGTAATTGTGTTATCAGTCTTTTTCTTGTAGAGGCCCTGTAGTAATCTGTAAACTTTCATTGAGACATTATCTGAAATGTCATTGCCAAATGGTTGTGTTTTTATTTTTGTTTTTTTTTTTATTGCCAAATGTTTTTCACCCAGTTGGTAGGTTTTCTTTCACCATTCTGTGAAAAGTTTTTGATGTACAGTGGGATTTAATTTTTAGAAGGTCCCATTTGTTGATTTTAATCCTCTCCTGATTATGCACACACGCCCATTTTTAGATGTCTGTTACCATTGCATATTTATATTTTTGTGCTGTATGCTTTTCTCTGAGCACTCTGTTCACAAGGAGCATATTGGCTGAGTTACTGGAATATTAGATTGTTTGCAACTTTTTTGCTTTTTTTATGTTGTATTTACTTTTTATTGTTTCCCACAGAAAATTATTTTTTCTTTTTCTTAAATTTTTATTAAATTTTAATGAACATTTACAGAGATTTTGGATTTCCATTCATTGTTGCGCTTTTTTGATTTTTTTAAAAGCAGTGCTATTAAGTACATGTTGTTTGTTGTTGTGTACCACTGGGATGGAACCAACCCACAGTGGACTCTCCAGTGGATTTTCAGAGACAGTGAAATCACATGGTGGAGACGGCCCACCTTTGTCTCGTGAAGCAGCTGGTAAATTTGAACTGCATGCCTTTGGGATTGCAGTGCAGCTTCGGTTGTTTTTTTTGGGGGGGGGGTAAATTATCAAGAATGGGGTTATTAGATAAAAAGAATATAATTTAAACTTTGTGCTATGTATTTTCAAATTTGCTATCTAAAAAATAGACAAGTGCTGGCTGCCACATGTGGGAAATTTTATATTCATGCTTTCAGGGGAGGGGTTGAAACTGCAGCTAGTTTTACTTTCAGTTGCTTCTTTGTAATCAGCCACTCAGTATTCTCTTTATTTCACTATCATCATGGCAAATTACTCCTTGTCAAAGACTATTTGAGGTTTGGATTTCTCTGAAATGCTTTTCACA